TAATAATAATAATAATAATAATAATAATAATAGTCTTTATTAATGGCGAGGCTCAGGCCATGCTCTTCCGCCTAACCACTGAATTTACATACATTTAGAGTAGTAACATTTTAAGAGGGGAGGACAAGCTGTACATTTACGTACATTGTACGTACTGTACACTGTACGTACTGTACACTGTACGTACTGTACACTGTACGTACTGTACACTGTACGTACTGTACATTTTAATATACTTCCACTTATTTCAAAATACGTACTGTACATTTTAATATACTTCCACTTATTTCAAAATACGAGTATATTTCACGTAATTTCGAGTAAAATCATGACATTTCAGCAAATATATACAAACAATATATCTCGGAAGTGTGCATGTTTTTCTTCGGGAAGGGGCAGCGATCATTCCCAGCTGCATGGAGAGATCCGTGGCTGACCTACATGTCAACTAGTGGAGTTTTCCCCAACCAAATACCTCCCACCAGCAGTGGGCCGTCCCAGTCGGAGCAAGATCTAAGCTCCCGACTCGTCTTCTGGTATGTGTGGTAGTGTAATACATTTTAGTGTGTGTGTGTGTGTGTGTGTGTGTAAGCAAGGGGCGACGATAGGACAAGGAAGGGCAAGGAAAGATCGCGCGCGGTCCCTGATCCGTTTTATAAGGCACGGCTCAGTATTCCCCCGATGTGGATCGGAGAAACTAGAGAAAAACTACCGGTCAGAGCAGCCGGCCGCTAGAATTCTCGTCCAGAGAGCCGGCCACTGAATTTAACAGAGGTCTGTAGCGAGTGTTGAAAATCCTGCCACCGTCGGACTGTGGTCCTAGGTCCTGGTCATAGGTACTGCAGTGATTACAGTTGATCCCTGAGCCATGTAAGTCGGTTTCTTTCTACAAGTTAGATGGGGTATGTGCATAGGAAACCTCAGTTGCACTAATCCCCTTGCATACATTATTTTTAATACGAATTAAAACATTATTTTTTGTGTGAATTGGTAGAAACATATGAAAAGGTACCAAATTATTCAGACTGGCAAAAAATGGAATAATCCCACTTCATCTATTTAGCTATGTATGCAATGTGTGCGTAAGAATGTTAACTTTACAGCAACTTTCACAACAAACTGACAATCCCAAAACGCTCCTTCTAGCTGTATTCTTAGAAACACTCGGCCCAACAGACCAGAGGGTGGCAATGCTCCCGCGAGGTCTGGCAACGGCGCGAGGCGATTCAGAATTCATACCCAGATGTCGCGGCGATCGGGTGGTCCCGAAGGGGGCGCCGACGGCGGCGGCGGCGGCGGCAGGCGTTGATTGGGCCATTGTCGCGAGGCGAATTAGCCTGCGGCCAAACACGCCTCCGCCCCCGTCCCGTCGCCGCCCTCGCAGCCGTCGGGCGAGGCGTGAAGAGGACTGAATGAGTGGAGGTTTTTGAAAATCGACTCTCGCGAAAAGAGTCGCGTCCCCGCGGGCGGCGGTAACTGGAGCTGCGGGTCGCCGCCTGCCCTGCCCTGCCCCGCCC